TTTGGTACCGTTACCTTCAAGGTTTCGCCGGCAACCAATGTAACGCTCGCTTCCTTTATGCCAAAGCTGAACATACGAATCAATCTGATCACCCTGTCCAACCCCCAAACACCAATGATGGCCCAGGTAAACCCCTGATAACCAAAGGAGTTGATGTGGTAATGGACACAAATCAAAACGGCAATTGCAAGCACAATGTGAACTAGCATGAAGGCCTCATAGAAGTTTCTTCTCACGACAAGTATAGATTGGCCTATGATTGCCCCTACAACAATTGCCGCAATAACACCCCACGTGAAGTAGCCCGCTTGTAGTCCGGTCATGTACTTGTTCGATCGAACTCCATACGTGCCAAAGGTCTGGGAAATACCGTGGGCAATAACCAATGCAAGAAAGATACGGGCCATGTGTCTGTGGAAGGTATTGAATCTGGTGTAATCCCACCGGGTTAAAAACATCAAGATGTTGTTTCTTGACGCAAACAAGATCAACGTAGGATACGCAAAGAGTGCCAACACACCCGTTCGATCAGCAACGAGTCGTCCTATTTCAGTCAGGGTCTTACTCCAGATAGGATTACCGCTAACATGATGGAACCCAATACTGCTCCCTAAAATCATGTATACCCATAGCAGAAAAATAATCAACGATTCGGCTCGGGTAGGAACGAATCCGTGAGGAAGACCAAAGAGCTTGAGCGGCGCGTTCTTGTTCGTGGAATACATGGCCGGAAGGGTAACGTGCCTTTTCAACGCCTTGGAGAAGGATCCATTAAGGCGCATGACCAACCTAGGACACAACAACACCGCCCAGTTGGCAATACCAGATACTACCATGTATAAAATAAACAACACAATGAACCCTGCTCCCAAACTGAGCGACAACGTAAGATTGTTCTGTCTATTGTAGTACTGCAGGTAGTATGCAGCCACCGTATTTGGATCGACAGTGATGGGAGAGTAAGACACAAGAGTGGCGTTCATATCGGCCGGTGGGGTGATGATGTACTTGGACGCATTCTGGTAGACGGCGTCGAAGAATTGAGAATCTAACGTGGTGTTTGGGTAGTTTACAGCGCAGGCATCTCCGAGGTACGCAACCATCTTGTCATTGTAGTAGCCCATGTCATGCAAACACGTCAAGAGCGATCCC